ATTGCAAACAAAATCTGAAGTCCCATCTTATTGACCGTAAGATTGATTGAACAATGCACAGCACACAACAACTCGTTTCAATCATTAAGGCGTGACACTTTGATTGGTTTGGGACACTAATCAATAGACCAAGCACAGCGCATGTGTGGTAGCTTTAGTGTTTGCATATCCATTGAAGGAAAATTGATTGTGATTATGATTGCTTGATGACCAATGAGTGCATGGCCTGCTTTAGGGAAAATACCTTGGCTACAACTTCCTGAGTAATTCAGCAAGGAGGACAGAATATCAGCAACTTTCTGAAATTGAGGTTTTTGGCATTTAAAAGCTTGTTAAAAGAAAATTCCGCCATTTGTACAAAAATAATAAATGCATATTCCTCATAAAAGAAAATAAATGGGCATGTACTGTTTTTTGCATAGGAGGCAGTAAAGAATTGCAACCATAATCAGTAGATTGTGGGTGTAATTCTCTGGCTCCTGCATGGACAGGTGTGGACGTGCAGTAACAGGAACAAAGAAAGTGTCAATAGACTACAAGTGTGGTGATGGCACCGCACTCATACGTGTTTACAAAAAATGAAAAAAAGGCCTCAGTCATGAAGGGGTTAAAACTACAAGTCCCTCTGCTGTGGTGGCTAATGCAACTTGTATTTTCTCCATTCACTGATCCTGTCAAAGTATCTGTGAATGGGTGACACGGCTGTATGGGCAGTCACGTGCAGCCACAACGATTTCAAACACCAGCAGCAGACTGCAGGGAGAAGAACGCCACAATTCAAGAGGGTGGGAGGGGGTCTGCCATCTGACCTTGTTTCAAGAAATACTCACCTACTCCTCAGTCCTGCAGCAGTGACCGTTCACCTCTCTCCCCCTCAACTGTGGCTGTGGTGTGTCCCTTGGTGTCCTCATGTCCAATTGATGTGCATTAGATGTGATCACATCATGGCTCCTCTGAACTCTGGAGCCCTGGGGAGAAGTGGCTGCTGGGACCGTTCTAACAGCCAGACAGGAGTAGCCCCACTGCAAGGGGTAATTCTTTAAACACCAGAATACATTTTTTTCCTAAAATCTGCTACTCACACACGTTTAAGACCGCTGCCCTTTATTTACTATTTACAATCTAATTCATCCTGGACAGTATAGCTTTCGGTATACTTCCAGTTCTGTGACTGAGAGCTGTGTATTGGTGGAAAAAAAATTATTGAATGTATACATTTATATTATACTGCAATAACAGGCGTGAGCAGTGGAGAAAGGTTCCTTTCAGAATATTCACTAAACAGCACATGACTTCAGCAGGGAGGGACAAACACATAGGAATATAGCAAGCTGGTAACCCAATACTACAATATGTTAGAGAAGTGCTGTAGTTACCCAACAGTGCCATCTGCTGAATAGGAGATATAAGCAAGGTTATTCATGAATGGTTTGCACCAGGATCCTGTTGTTTTAATAATTTTTTTTTGTCCATAGGTTCTTTTTCTTTAAACTGTGCACATGACATGTCATTTCCTATATTGAGAAATTGTAATTGCTGCTTACATAGATTGAACAAACATATCTATAGCATTCAGTTTTTTCTGTAATTTTGTGTGCCCATGCCTATGGTCCTAACCCTTCCCCACTGTATTCAATACCAGTGAAACATTTTAGCTGGAGTTCCACATTTAAGGAATGGTAAACATTGTAGTCCTGTAGCTTTGACCTTCAAAAACTGTTCAGCGCTGGAAGCACCCATACTTCTAGAAATTCTTAATAAGCCCCCAAAATTTACTTGCAATTTATGGGGAAGAGTCCAGTGTATCAGGGTTACAAAACCCACAGAACCATGTGAAGCAGGCAACATTTCAGAAGGTACTAACCCATGGTAAGTAGGTAGCAGCCTTTTTTGTTGTAATGTAGTAGCAATCTGAGCATAAAAACACTCGGCCATCCATTCTTGATCAGTTGCAGCCTGGTAGTTCTATGTTTCACCTTCCTTACCATGAAAGATTGTTACTCCAAAAAAATTGTCGTAAATTTCAGGTGCTACAAATGACATACAGATATATTGCAACATCTTAATAAAAAGTATTCTATTTATTTTATTATGCAAATCTCTAAAAACACATACAATTTAGGTAAGGAGAAGGGCATTCTGTTTCCCACAGAAATTATATTGTAATACAAATGCTTAGTGCTGTATAGACTTCCACATGAGGACTACACTCAATACCACACCATTCAGTGAAGTCATAATATTAGCTTTGGTAAGATGGTACAGCTGACATGTAGTGATGGAGTAGGGGTGGCGTTCAACGCGATTCGTTAGATCTGCTTTGTCAGGAACTATGGAAGATAATCTAGGTATTTAAGCCTGGCTCTGTGTAAGGACAGATGGATCACAAGGAGCCAGCCATATTTCCATCTGGGGGGGTGGGAATTTGGGGCAGGGGATAAAAGCAAGTGGGGGAACCAATTCATATATGTATATGACCAGCCACTTCTTAACTTCTTATATGAAATTGCATGCTTGCATCTTTTTAGGCTTGCACTGTATGCACCACTGTATATACAGTATTTCAAGATGTTTGAACCCAGGGATTTACTGCAGAATAAAATCATTTAAGCAATGGAGCAAGTAGCCAGGAACCTAGCCGACGCTAGTCATGTGTAAGTATAGTACAAAATGAGGACAGGTGATTCAGCCAAAGAAACCTGGGACAATGACAAAGCACGTTATCAGTAATGAAATCAAACCATCTGGTTTTAAGGCATGAATCACTAAGGTACAGTTATATGAAAATGCTAAAGACTCTTCTGCTTATTTCTCAAGTTTTATACTCCGCAGTGAAGATAATTATCCATATTAACTGAAAATGTCATATTAAATAGAATGAAAGCAGGCAAAGGCGTGGCGCAACAGCAAAATATCAGTCTGTGATTTGCACTAAACATTCGTTTAAGCCAGGCCATCAGCTTACAGCCCATCTGCTGCTTTCATTATTAAATAGAATTGAAATAACATACTGTAAAATGAATATTTATCCTGCTAATTCCCTTACCTATTTTTAGGGTTCATGCACACAGGCTGAGGGTCCTTATAATGTAAATTGGGTGTATTCCCCCCACTGGGAGCCACAGGTGTTCCATACAGCCACCCATATAAATCAATGGCTATACACAAGATGGGTATATGCCTGACTTACATAAACATGCGCATGGGTACGGATGTACAACCTCAAACTCAGATAGTCTGTGTAAATACATCTTAATTTACGTTATACGGCCCCAAGTGCCCATGTTTATAAACTCTAATACAGCATACATTTGGCAACCTTTATTTAATACTGAAATACCAGCTTTGGGTGGACTAACCCTAAGTACCGAAACTCTTACACTATATTGAAAAAGAGGTCACATCATAGTTTATAATTTTTATAAACATTATATGGTCATGTAATTTATTTGTTACCTCCACTGTCCCTACATTTTAATTTAGTATGTACACCCTCCTCATGAGCTTGGGTTCTCGGCTCTCAAAGTGGCATTGTCAATTTTTAAGATAGAGTTTTTAAACTTAAAGTGAACCTATGCCCAGGCTATGAACATTCAGTATTTACATATTTTTAACAAGCAGTTACCAGCTTAGCTTTAAACCAAGCCCTCCCGTGGCATCTGTAGCTGCAGACACTGTGGAACAATTCATCTTAAAAGTTCACAGCAGAAGCTCCCATCCCACAGTTTTTCGTCTGTGTTTATATTAAAGATTAGAAGACTGGAGGGGTTCTAGGAGCGGAAACAGGGTAAGAATTGACCTTTGCACTGAGGATGGATTTCTCCACTGTGATTCAGTTTTTTTAGAAAATAAAAATACTTAAATGCCTGTACCTGAGCCATGTGTTTTATTTTTAAACAAACTTGTCTTAAATAGTAGTCACTAAATGATTTTCATATTCAGGGACTTTGCAAACCCCCCCACTTCCCAGAAACCTTAAATCCCAGGATGCTCCATAATGAAAAATTTTCCCAGAGCATTCATGGTCATTGTGTAGCCGTAACCCTTCTTTCTGTTTGTTACTTCTTAGTGGGCAGTAAACCTTGGTCACAGCTGCCATTACAAAGCACCTCAGGGCAGGATACTGGGGTGCTCTGCAAAGGTACTGAATATACTTCATGGAGGTACCAGCTGCCCAGAAGAGCACGTTTAATACCATTGAACCTCCCCAAAGTTTGTTGTGTAAAGAGAAAGTGTTAACATGATTGTGTCTCTTGATTGGGAAGGAAAACACACATTTATTTCTTTTTTCATACGTTTATAAAAAGTATATAAGTATACATAGAGTTTGATGTTATTGCTTCCTGAAAAAGTACAGTGTGTCACAATTTGATTTCTGTGATAGTTTAGCACCATGGATGGTGTCACTCGTTTTCCCAGCAATGGTGGTGTCTTTTTGATGAATCACTCAGCAGTTGTATATATTAACCATTCAGTTTTTGGTGTTTTGCTCTAAGGTTTAAAGTATTTTAAAAACCAAGCTACCAGCAGTTTCTTGTGGTGGCTGGTGAACACTGCAGCTTGTCCTTTTAGACATAATGGGACACTATATACTGTGCCATCTGACCAGAGAGATTTTAGTCCAAGCACATTTTACTTGCATTAGGCATTTCAATCATTAATCGACGTCTGTCAACATCAAATGCTGTTTGGTGTTTCATGTTATCATAAGTATTACTTATTCATATAAAATGATAAATGTTCCTATATACACAGTGTGGTCCTATTATATTCTGTATATACATTTTGCAGTGTATATTTTCCATCAGTTTGAGATGATACGATGAATTGAAATCCACTCAGGTTTATGTCTCTTGTGACCCGTTGCCATTTTATTTTGACACTTACATAGACAGACTTTCCAGGGGAAGCACAGCAACATTTATGTGATATGACCTTTGTAAATTGAAAGCACACCGTATATATGTGACTTTATGCCATATTTTTTTTTTATTCTCCAGGAACTAAAGAAAGACATTAAAAAAGACCTTAGCAGTAAACCACCAGACAGGCCTAACCAGATCATATCTAATGGCAATGCCTTGCTGTCAAGTGAAGCAGTAGTCCGCGGATCTGGAAGAGGTAATTGATACACCACTCTCTTTGTGTACAGAGACACTGCATGTGCATTTCGCCTAGCTTTCTGTCATTGTGGGGGCTTTTATGAAAATGGCAAAATTGGGTAAATTCTTCACTCTAACAAATACTGTATTTGGCCTATTATTTACTTCATAAAATGCAGATTGGATCATAAAATACTTTGACGATTAAAAAAAGTACACAAAGCATGAAAATTGTTCAGTTTTTGGCCTGTGCAGATTTTACGTGTTCCTGATGTGTTCCTTGGGTTTACAAAATGTGTTATATTTACTTTGAGCTTTCTGCTTTGATGCTTTTGTTGCTTTGTGGTTCTTATTTTTCCAACTTATTTCAACCAAAAATTCCTATTTAGTAGATTTGACAGAGCAGTAAAGTGGTCTTTATAAACTACTAACAAGTGATGAGTAAATAACACAAAATCCTCTCTGCCATTAGAGGCTAAAATTCACCTTGTCAGGTCGATATCTTCTTGACTTGCAGTCCAATTAACACTTTTACAACTTCTTTTGGGAGAGAATCAAATTAATTTAAGATCGGTCAAGGTCACAGGGAGCAGCGAATGATGGGGTGTTTTTTTTGTTTGGCTTTCTGTAAGGTAATGGATCTAATATGCAAGTACATGACAGGAGAGGAGTGGAGAGGGTATGACAATGGGTATTATGTTTAGGAGAGGAGTGTGGAGGGTATAAAGGGGGCATTATGTGCAGGAGAGTAAAAGGTGATTATTAATCATTTTATAATTAGCAAAAATCACAACCAATATGGTCATAGCCATACAGGTGAATGGCACTGGTGAACTGTGCCCTATAATGCATTTGGTACCCATTTATAAAAGAGAGTAAATATAGCAGAAGCATGGGAGCCAAGCTAGATGTTTTTAGAGGTTAAAATCAGTGTCCAGGAAAATTGAAGTAGGTTATTCTAGAACCGTGGTAGCTAGCAAAGAGGGTGTTAGGCCCCATTCACACCTATGCGTATTGTAATATGCGCGTCTGTCGCGCGACCGTCACGCGGTTTTTTTACCGCGATTCGCTGTAAAAAAGTTGCGCGACCGTCGCGCGATTCCAAAGGCTACTTGGCAGTATCCAAATGGAAAACGCCCTACAAAACGGCCCAAAGTAGTCCCGGGACCTTTTCAGGCGTGGGCCGTTTTGTAGTGCGTTCAGGACGGGCGGAAATACGGACAGGTGGGAACGAGACCATTGACTGTAATGCTATTTATATTTCGGACCGTTTTGTAGAGCGTTCGTCGAGCGTAGAACGCGCTACAAAACGGTCAGGTGTGAATGGGGCCTTAGCAGCACCCAAGACTGAAGGTGGTGGGGAGAATACTGAAAGCGAAACTGTGGCGGCAGAGATAGTGCTGCTGACACAGGAAATGGAGCAGAGATTACCACTGGACCAGAGTCGGTGGAAATGAGAAAGATATTTGGCAAGGTTCACTAAAGAAATTAGGAGGATTCTCACACATGTGCTGGGCACTGAGGGATTATAACACCTGCTCTGGAGATGGGTGATGAGGGGTCAATGCACCTGCCTTGGGTACTGGCAGCTGCGAGATTATTGCACAAGTAGAAAATATAGAAACTGGGTGCTAAGGGATTTCACTGCTTATATGCTGGTGACAGGAAACGAAGGGGTAAATGCCCTCACCTTCACAATAACAATAAAAGTGATAAATGGTGTGAAAGACCAAAAAAAAAAAGAAAAGGAACAAGGAAATTTGCACAATGTGTTCACAAACACCTTTTGTGAAAAAAACCCAGTATTTTAAATTCAATGCCAGTCTTTATATCATAATAGTAATATGTAAATGAATACAGAGATTATTTGACTTGTGCTTTTATATCTGCTTGAAGTTCAGTTTTAAAAAGCAGTCTTAAGCTCTAGTCACATACCAGAATTTACATGATTGTGCCTTCTCTGTCCAGAATTAGATCTTGACACTGGAACAAAGATGGTTGAAAAGAAAAGCAGATAGAGCAGGGGCATATCCACCGCAAGGCCAAGAAGGTGTTTGCCTTGGGCGGCACTTTCCAGGGGGGCGGCGAAGAACGCAGCCCCCAAATCAGTAAGGCAAGCGGGGCCGCACAGAATCAGGCAGCCTCGACTGCATAATCAGGCAAATTAGTCGGCTGCTCGTGGGGCCTTGCAGCAGTCTAATTTGCCTAAAAGAGCTGCTTGGTGGAAGAGGAGGCGGGCTGGGGCAGCTGAGGGCTCCTCAGGGCTGAGTGTAGTCTTGCCTAGGGCAGCACGAAAACCTAAATACACAACTGAGATGACGGCTAGGCCAGCAGGGGTGTTGTGGTTTCTTTAAGAGGCAATACATACCTGTAGTTGTCACACACATCTCTTGACATGTATGCATTTGACAAGATATAACTGATGTTAGGTCCACTATAAGAGGTTCAAAAGACCATTCTCTTGTTTACTGATGAGGATTATTTCACAAGGTAGACCAGGTATTCAATAGCAAAGATTTGATCACAGTGAATTGCACTCGGTTTATTGGTGGTCACTTTCTGCACCATTTTACTTGTTCCAGTACATAGAGAAATGTTGGGTTTCCCTCCTCTTGTCAAACAAACTATTTCTCCACTATTGCCAACACCAGTGACTGTTTTCTGAAGCTGAAGCTGCAGGGAGCACAGACCTACTGATAGGTGTTATTACTAGTTGAGGCCGGTCTGCAATGTAATATCCTGGCGTCAGATGTACGAGTGTTGACTCTTTGTATAATCACTTTGATCCTTTTCTGATGCAAGCTTTCAAGGTGAGTATTTATGAAATTTTATATTAGTGGTTCAGTAGGATATTCATCTACCGTATATACTCGAGTATAAGCCGTCCCGAATATAAGCCGAGGTACCTAATTTTAGCCAAAAAAACTGGGAAAAAGTATTGACCCGAATATAAGCCGAGGGTGGGAAATGAGGCAGCTACTGGTAGATAGATACCATTAAAATACATTAATATTTATTTAAAAGAAAAATAACCTAGCTCTGTAAGTGGAAAAGGGGGTACAGGGCTACATATCATGTACTACGGATCATTTAACCCATTCATATTAGCAGAGGATAATTGTAAATCTATTGTTCAGTGCACTCTATATGTAGTATATAGTACATGTACATATAGAGTGCCTGCAACAATACATTTACAATGATCCTCTGCTAACATGAATGGGTTAAATGATCCATAGTACAGGGCTACATACAGATCATTTAATACATTCATGTTAGTATAATTGTAAATGTATTGTCTGCACTGTATTAGCAGTATATACTCTATATAGAGTATATACTGCTAATACAGTGCAGACAATACATTTACAATTATACTAACATGAATGTATTAAATGATCTGTATGTAGCCCTGTACTATGGATCATTTAACCCATTCATGTTAGCAGAGGATCATTGTAAATGTATTGTTGCAGGCACTCTATATGTACATGTACTATATACTACATATAGAGTGCACTGAACAATAGATTTACAATTATCCTCTGCTAATATGAATGGGTTAAATGATCCGTAGTACATGATATGTAGCCCTGTACCCCCTTTTCCACTTACAGAGCTAGGTTATTTTTCTTTTAAATAAATATTAATGTATTTTAATGGTATCTATCTACCAGTAGCTGCCTCATTTCCCACCCTCGGCTTATATTCGGGTCAATACTTTTTCCCAGTTTTTTTGGCTAAAATTAGGTACCTCGGCTTATATTCGGGACGGCTTATACTCGAGTATATACGGTAAATCTATGGCTAAGGTCATTTGTCACAGCTTAGTCTTCAGTGCAGTAAAGGGCTATAATTCTTAGGCTGTAATAATGTGATCAGGCAGGACTAGGAATGAGCAGAACACATAAGGATACATTAATGGATGTTTATTCTTGATTCACAGCCTTGGGAAGCCAAGTGGCATTTGTGAAACTGTTTACCATGGCGAAACATATGTCATTGAAGGACAGAGACTTCTGAGTCTCTGAAGCCGTGGCTGTTATTGTCATTTGTTAGAAATCTGGCTTTTAATTAGCTTACATCAGAATGTAGCGGTCATGTATACACATGACATGAGCCCTGCTGTGGTCTCAAAATGTTTCTAATAAAGGCAAACTCAGGTCTGAGACTGTGGCTTATAAATAAATCAAATTAAAAATTAAGAGGGTTATTCACAAAGCTGCCGAAGGCAGCCGTGTGAATAACCGACCCAAAGTGAAGTGAGCCGAACGCTGTTCAGCTATTCATTTCAGGCTTGTACGGCTATTGGTGAGTTACAGAAGGAGACCAGAATCACCTACACCTCTATGTCACATGGGGAGATTGATGTCTATTGGTGAGTTACAGAAGCAGACCAGAATCTCCTACACCTCTCCGTCACATGAGGAGATTGGTGTCTATTGGTGAGTTACAGAAGCAGACCAGAATCACCAACACCTCTCTCTCACATGGGGAGATTGGTGTCTATCGGTGAGTTACAGAAGCAGACCAGAATCACCAACACCTCTCTCTCACATGGGGAGATTGGTGTCCATCGGTGAGTTACAGAAGCAGACCAGAATCTCCTACACCTCTCTGTCACATGGGTAGATTGGTGTCTATTGGTGAGTTACAGAAGCAGACCAGAATCACCTACACCTCTCTGTCACATAGGGAGATTGGTGTATATTGGTGAGTTACAGAAGCAGACCAGAATCACCTGCACCTTTCTGTCCTTAACTTTTGAATATAGAAACTCAATAAAGAAAGTCTATGATAATGAGAAGGTTTTGTAAATATGAATATAATGTAATTGATTGCATAGGTTGGTATTACCCGACAGTCACTAATCAGTTCATAAATCGCTGTATGAAATGTAGAAACATATATGCAACAGTAAACTAGTGAGAGTAAATTACAAATTAAATCCAGAAAAAGAAGCTTAAAGGAGAACTATGAGGTTAGGGCTTTTCCTCATAGTTCTCCTTAGGGTAACGG